TAAACCTTGAATCATTTCTGCGAGTTTATCGACAGTTAGCAGCAACTTCATTCATAAACACAGAAAAAAACACAGCAGCTAACACTTATAGAGTGACATTAACATTCTTACATGATGAAGCACTGTCAGTCCGTATATGTTAATGTGGTTGATATCAGCTCCCTCATGCCTAAAACTAACCAATCCAGCCCATGAAGCCAAAGAGTACTAGCCAATCATAGGCAGAGTATGGCAGGTCATGCCTTCGCCATCCTAGGAATCTAAATTTGGCTTGCACTGATGTACACTACTGAACGATATGCATCAGAGGGGATTATTTTTTTTATTAAGTGGATACATGCAATTGCCAACTGGAAAATAAACACCATATACCGATGTATACCCTACACTATACCACTGACACCGATGCATAAGGTAGACAAAACACATTCACATTTCTTAAACACAGCACCATGATTGACAAAATGGTTTGCCTTGATTTTAAAGTATGGGATAAAGCACTAAAACATGCAAAACCCACCAGTGCCATTCTTTCACACCACATTGGAATTCTACTCTTCCCCTCTGTGATCAATACAAATTGTGTGCTTTAGCCCGCTTGTTTAACATGCCTAAATTGCTTTACATATGTCTGGTATCATGTACATCCAAACCCAAGCACTTCAGCTCCAACCTGAGCTGCAGTGTGTGGAACACAGCTCTCCAGATTGGAACCCAGCTTGGGGTAAAGGTTAATGGAAGCGACCTGCAAAACAGAGATTTACAGCTACCGCATCTGCTGTGGCAACCTTGGCATCATACCTTCCATATACCAAAAACAACTTTTTAAAGAAGAAAAAAAAAGCAAAACGGAACAAGAAAATGTTTTATTTTCACAAGGCACAGTGTTGGCTGTATAAGCTGTCCCTGGATATTTGCTCGATGATTCACATTCACAGGTGAACTCGAGAAACTCAGTGTCAGGTTGAAAATTGCCTTGAGGCAGGTTAAGATGATTCTGCCAGGCTTAAGATCAGAGGAAATGGAAAAAGAAAAGAACACTAGAGAGAACAAGTCCCAGTCTAATGTGAACACGGGAAGGACAGAACGGAGCTGTCTCTCACCCTGGAGATAGCCTGAAAATATCGTCTGTTGTCAGAGTCACTTAGACAGAGCACATGCACAAGTGAGGGCCATACATTTACCTATACAGAGCACATGCACCAGTGGAGGCCATACATTTATCTATACAGGTTGGTCATCGAACCCTCCACAGCCTGTTTGTCCATCTTTGGCTGTCCCTAACTAAAGACTTTTCTAGTACTTTCTAGTACTTTTTAGTTCAAGTTATTAGTGACTAGTCTTCAAATGTTTATGATATTAATTTAATTATTGAAATATATATGATCACCTGACCATTAAATGATAACAGTTAAAGCGATAATGATGACAGCAAGGAGTTTAAAATAATATAAACTTTCAACTTGAGAAATATCGATACAAAATCAACTTGCTACAAACTTGCTCCTCTCCATGCATCATGCCTCTCCTGTTCTTGCCTGAGCGTGCAGTGTTTTCATAGTGCCTGGAGTCACTGGACGCAGCCGCTGTAATTTACCTTGCCTTTGATGGTGTTGGAGGCTGTGTTCAACCCTGGCCGTGGTCACTGGGAGGCCAACTCTGGCAATGGCGTTCATTCCGGCCGCACTCCTATGCTAGTGGTACAAACAAACCTCCTCCGGTGCTCAGATACAGTCATCTTATAGGACCGCTAAAAAGCTAGTACAGCAGCTCGTACAGTTAGCACATGCAGCAGTGCTGTGTTACAAGAGAAAAGGTCCGTGTTGCAAAAATCCCCTTTTTTAAAACATTCAATATGTGATTTTTATTTGTCAAAATGATGCTTTGTCAGTGACAGGAAGCAGGATAGACAGGCCCATACATATTTTTCTATTTGTTTCCCAGCAGCTTTATTATAAGCTTATTAATTGCTTTCTGGCAATAAAAATTACCTCTATTTTCAGTCACTGAGTGATGCATTCAGACATTTATTAGATTCATAATGCAAGCTATTTCTTGCATTATCTAGTTATCTCTAACAACACTACATCTGCAGTATATATGCACGTTCACATGTGGATACTGCATTGCAATGGTATTATCATTTCTAGCTAATTTGTAACATTTTGTTACTTTTACACGCTCCATATTAAACTGTATGTGTAGACTTAAAGGTATATACACACCTCCACATGTACAGCATGCTTGTTCCATTTGATTCTATCAATAGCTTCAGAGAGAGCTGAAAAAGAAGTGCTATTGAAATCATCGAAGGCCTCAACATTTGCGACCTGAAAGATTATTCAACATGTGAACGTTGCTGGGCAACAAACACAGTTCCAACCAGGGATGAGTGTTTTTGGCAAATATTACCTTTAAAGGTATATTTTTTTCCAGGAAAACACAATTACTCATGGACGTGGCCAGTTGTACAGTTGGCTGTATATTATCAAAGCAAAGAAAAATCCTTTTACATTAGAGAAGAGAGTACAGAGTTTTACTTTTCAAAGCCTCTGACTTCTTTTTTTTTCTCCTGCGGATGTTGAATACTATCTACCTGACAGACACTTAAACCAACAAGCGGAGGCAATTCATTGGTGGAGTAAAAAGGTGAGGGTAAACTATACAGTTATATTTCTTGAGGAGAGAAATCACTGCTGTAGCCTGTGGGCTGGCACTGTCTGTATCTCCATAACTTCACAGGGTATTAATTGTTTCAGCGCCGTCAGCAGAATGGCCTCTGCTTGTTGAACCAAATCCAGAAGTAAAGTCATCAGCCAAATTGCATGGGAGCAGATACTGGAGGCTGAGCCACAGAGCAAGATGCTGAATTTTAAGATGGTTTTGGACAAATGTCCGGCTCCATTTTGAGCGGCGCACTAAAAACAGGTAACCAACGCTGAGCAGATGAATGGGATGAGCACTAAATACTCTGTGGGTTGGTATCATGACAAGCTGCTAATCTATGAGGACAGGATTACTGTAAAAAGACATGATAGAGTTGTCAAAGGTGCAGCCGTCATTGCCATTCATGTGACAGATGCTCTAACCAATGCTGATTTACAACACTACTTAGTATTCGTGAATATGATATACCATTAGATCAAGTCAGGAGTGCCATTTGGTGCCAATCATGTATCGGTGATTGACTGAGAATAAGTGCAAGAGGTGCTGCATGGAAAAAACCCACACACTAGCTTAAAATACTTCTAGGATAGATTTTCATTTAAATTGTTTTATCTTATACAGAATGACATACACCCAACTTAGAATGATGTTCTTTTTAGCTTCAAGAACATTGTGTTGATTAAAAGATAAGTGGTGGATGTGGTATTCACACTGTTTAGTGAAATAAAATATGAAGTAGTACTATGATGAAAAACTGCTCTATCACTAGAAAAAGCCCTGAATTTAGAAGATCCAGACATGTATTATATATACAAATAGTCTGCTTGGAACAATAATGTGTTTCTGTGTCTGTTTTTTTCCTCAAAAAGTATAATTTCCTTATTAAAAATACATAAAAAGACATCTGCTTCTTCTATCTCATTAAAAATTCCAGAATCTAAGCCAATGTTGTTTTCCTGCTGGACACAAGATGTCTCCTACTTCACTGTAAAGTCCATTCTCATTGTATGTGTGCTGGTGGCTTCAGGTTATCACGTATGTGATTAGTTGCATGCTGGACTAGGATTTGACTTCCAAACTATTTATGATGTCACAAACTGTGCTTGTAGGCCCCGCCCCCTTAAAATCTGATTTTTGAAACTTTCCACTTTCAGCAGATGAATGTCAAAACATCATTCTATTGTCAAACTCTGCACATGCATCATTCATTCTGCACAGTGAAGCTCAAACATCCAACTAGGAACAAGAAAAAAAAACATATTTCTGAGTGGATGAGGATTTAATAAAATTATTTAGTATTAAAGTATTAAATAATAATTTAAGTAAACTGCATTTTGATGTTGTCGTTGATCCAGGTTCTAGATTTTGTTTCCCAATTGAAGTACCGAAGTAAATTTGCCATACATTTTTAAAAATGTTTTTTTACCAAATAATTTCTTGTACATAAACGCTATTTATAAATTATGTGGATGTCAGTATAAGGTTAGCTATATTCAAGTTTGAAAGAAAGGGGCAACACAGATTAGTAACCCAGTGCACATGCAACGCACATTAAAAATTCAGCTGCCTATTTCCTCCTTAAATACACCCAAGCTTTAAAAGCCAGCTGCGGTGACTCAGAGGGAGGCCGCTGTCGATTAAGCACCATTGCATTTCCAATACGGGTAAGTGCGGAATGTTAGGTATACAACTGTTTATGACTTCTGGTTCAGTCGTTTCTCATAACCTATTTACAGAGAAACTAGGAATCAGTCCCTGGTCAGTTCCAGGAATCAGTCCGCTTGCATTCAGACACTCAAATGCACCATTTCAGCACCATGGACAGCGTCCTGCGGCCGCTTGTATTGGCTCGCAGTGTGTGGTCACAGCTGCCTTTAGAATGGATCTCATTCTCACACACGTTGGTTTCTGCATATCTGCACAAACTACTTGTGAGGACCCTCACGACGTACTGCATTTCCTATCTTCTAGCCACACATTTGACCACAATAAGCGTAAGCCACGACACGACCCATTGTTACAACATTAGCCCAAACCTCAAGTCTAAAACTGAGTCCAAAATGTCATCACTTTCCAAAAAAAAAAAGAAAAACGTCCTCACTCGGAAGGTCTAACACTCAAAATGGTCCTCACAAAGATAGAAGAGCACACACCCACACTACAGCAAATGCGATTTCTTATTCAGGAAACGATTACTAATGAATTCCTTATTATCTCGAAATGCATTTGTTACATTCATAAATACTTAATACCGAGTTGTAATAATTTCCTCTAGCTCAAACAGACAATGAAGCGGTTAAAATGAAGGAAAGGCTCGCTGGTGATATTTGCTTCTCACTGTGATGAGAGGATTCATTTCGGCTTCATCTGGGGCAACCTTCCTTCAAACCGTGCCACCGTAACATTTAACTCACGGTGCACCCTTGGACAAGCTGAGCTCACGGGTCGCAGTCTCACCAGAAGAGGGCATTCCGATTCTGCCTGACAAAGTTGCCTTGACATGCAGACGTGATTAACAACAGCGTCATGCTGCATTTCAAACCGATCGACAACGAGCATGAAGGGAACATTTGGAGAAAAAGGTGGATATCTGTATATTTGACTATTCCGTGAGGCTCGTTGACAGCGTTTCATAGAGACTTGTGGATAACCGAGCGTTACTTTCCCCTGTGCGCCATGCGCGGATCAGACTGAGCATCCTTGAGAACAGAGACGCCGGGGGTTTACTTTGGAGAGGAATCTGAGGGCTGCTTGACTCCTTTGGAAAATTACGTACTGTTTTTTTTTAATTTTTATTTTGCATCATGCCAGCGTATTTTTTTGAAGTTTTGTGACAGGATTTCCTCCATCTCCATGTAAGACTGACATGAATTACTTGGATGTGGCTTCGTTATTGTCTGCGCCTACTGCAGTACTCTTTTTGGCTGTAACTTGAAAAAAAAAAAAAAAAAGAGAACGATTATTTTCCTGTGTAGACATGGAGAGGGAGTTCTGAAACCGGATTTTTTTTTCGTATGCCGTTTTAATCTGGAGTTGGAAGTAAATGACATTCGCCCCGGTTCAGTTGTACGGTTATAGATGCAGAACTAAACCGGATAGCACATCCAGGTCCGGGAGAGTAAAGGGCAGGTGCGCTTTGGAGTCGGCGGCTGCGCGGACAGACCGGGCTAGTGGATTAGGACGGTACCTGTCTGTGGAGAGCGCGTCATGCGGACTCGGATGTCGCGCACCAGAAGCCATTAAAACCTGTAGGCTGGAGCTGACAGATAAGCGGATATGGGTGAGTTCTGTTTATGTTACCATCTTTTTGATAGCGTGGGTTGTTGTCAAGATATACTCCAGTTGCCCTCAGCCCCCACAAAACACCTCAAAATGCCTTGCCTCTTCCCCCTGGAAGAACCCGGTTCGAATCAGATGCGTGAATCAAAAATCGGTCGTCTTTCCAAATGCACCGTTGTAACATCTATTAAGGCTTTTGGAGTCTTTTGTTAAGTGGTTCGGGAAGGAATGTGGCTGAAGCCTGTGCTGTAGCCTGTTAGTCGCAGAGCTGCAATGTGTTTTTCCCCCATATCCTGGCGGTATGGATGATTGGAGACTAAGGATACTAGTTTTAGTATTTTAAAACGCTGTGCGCTTCAAGATGTGGTTCAAAATCACGAGCAAAGCAAATAAGCCTGTCTGTCTAAGTGAGGACTATCCTTTTTTATTTTTCTTGACCAGTTAGACTGTCTGGCTCATTGGCATGGACTGAAATGCTAATCACGGTAAATGTTGGAAGCCAGTCAACTTTATAAAGCGTGGCTCTGCATAATCATTGATTGTCCTTAATCTGTACGCACGGAGCCTATTGTCCAGTTTCAGCTCGACGCTAGAACGCCTCCTCAAAACTCTTGTGGGTTGAAGGCACCGGGTCGTGCAGATTTTGTTTAGCGGACTGATTCTCATTCAAGAAAGCCGTCGTATTCTGCACCTGCGGTCAAGAGGGACTCTCCAAATCAAGCATAAAACTGTGCGTCCATCCATCAATACTCTGTGTTTGTGAGTGCGTGTGTGTGTTTGTGTGGAGTCAATGCCCCTCTCCCTTCAGTAATGCATGATTAAATGTATGTGTTTGCGCGCGTGCACGTGTTTTCCTCATCTTATTGTCAGTTAAGAATTTACCATTTTTGCCCCGTTCTGTTCCCCTTACGCGTGCGCACAGTTACAACCCCCACATTCATCACCACCACCACCACCACCTCCATGGTCCCCCTTTCACTCTGTCCCTCTCTTGGTATTTAACTGTTAACTGTTTTGTATTATTTTACCCCCTTTCCCCAAAAATGTCTAATAATTTCGTCTCCATCATTTGCATTCTCTGATATCATTGTCTGAGGTAGCCTAATCTCCTCAGCCACTCTTAACTGGTATACAGATGGCCAAGTTCACTAGTGGTGCTGTGCCATTAATTGTGAGGCCGCATGATATATCGACCCACAGGGGGTTACTGCACCACATCAATATAAGCTACAACGGCACACAAAGCCATACAGTACAGGCTGCAGGAGCTCAGACGCAATTTATGTGTGCTGCAAAGCAACCATCTATGGTTAATCAAATAAGTGTGGTTTATGGGCCTGTTTCTTAATTTAATATAAGAGCATGTCAGAAAATTCTACATACCTGTGGTGCCAAGATTTTGACTGAGACCCACACGCACATGCAGGTGCACACGTGCCTGCAAACACGTTTGTGTCCAGGTGCACAAACCAGACCAAAATCTCAACTTTTTTTCAACCATGTAGCTATGTGCCGTTGCCCACAATTATTTGAAGATTACATGGTGGTGTAGTCTCAGTTATCCACCAGTGTAGCTGAGTGTGATGCTCTTCATTAACAGCATGCAATGCACTTATGTTTCATGGACCATATCATTAGAGATCTGCTTTGCAGAAAGAGAACAGTTGGGATAGTAAAAAGCCACAGTCAGAGATTCAGTTGCAGAGCTTTAAGATACAATTAGAGACCCCACTGACATTTCACACACCTTTCCTACATCTAAAACACATTCTTTGCTGTGAAAAAAGTATGACCGCCTGCCAATAGATGCAATGCTACTGTGTTAAAATTAATATTGGTATGACACCAGTCATATTGCCTCAGCTGCAAGTTCACAGTGGCTTAGTATAGACAACAGATGACCTTCTGCCGGCCCTACAGCATCCAACAGACAGCATTGTTGAAATGTCAGATGAAATAGGTGAAGGGGGGAGGGATCAACAGGCCCTTTGAGGGCAATATCTTGGCATTTGTTATTTACATTTGCTTATTTTGAAAGAAAAAAATCAATAGCTTGTGAAGCACTTGGGATCCAGCTTCCATTGTCTACAGTATATGCTTGTCCTTCTCATGTTTGTACTGTCCTGTTGCCCTGTTGCACTGAGCATGTATCCCCTACTGGTTCACCAGTAACACTTGCTATATTTACTAAAATATATGTGTTAAGCAATGTTGGATAATGATAACCTTGCAAGGCAGCTGGGCATGCGAGATGACAAAGTCAGTCGAGAATCCATGTCGCCAGGCTTCAATCTATGTACCTGTAACCAAACTACAGTGGTACCCGACCAATCAGTGTCCTTTGGGCAAGTACTGGCAGCTACAGGGGGTCGGCACTAGGTGTGACGCAGGGAGAAGACACTGTTTCTTAAAGAACAATGGCGGCTCTAATCGAGGTTAGTGTAGATGCTGCTAGCAGTTACATCAGAACTGGAGAGTATTTCCAGATTTAAAGAAGAGCAAAGAATGGCACTGAAGGCTTTTCTTGATGGATAGATGTTTTCTCTCTTCTCCTGACTGGCTCCAATAAGAGCTAGACTATGTTGACAACTTGCCTAGTATTCTTTTGAAAATGCCTGCCCTTTTCCAAACAGTTATGTGTAATAAACCATCTGGTGCACTCAGGTTAAGAAAATGGCCCAAGTAAAAGAAATCCATAAATAAAATAAAAATTGCAAAAGCATGGAATAAATAGAAATGTACAGACCACAGGTGAGCTAAAGAGGTAAGAGGATGGCCCTCAGAACAGCTGTTGTGCAAAGCTTCAACAGAAAATGTGTCATTGAGGGTAAAGCGCCAGTGCAGTACGTTTATACCTGTATACTTGTAAGGACACTCAGTAACATAATGCAATTCCTATCCCTTAACCTAAACTTAGCCATTGCAACTAAATGACCCTAACCCTACCTCTAACTCTGACCTACAGTATGCTTAATTCTAACCCTAAAAAAATGTTCTCACTCAGATTTAAAACCCAAATGTTATCCTCATAAAAAATAAGAAAAAATCCCCAGACACACAATATGATTCCTTCTACTTTCAGAATTATTGATGTTTTTAGTGTTTTGCACCCATTTATCAGGGCTGTGTTTCCCACTGACGGACACAATGAGATCACTGTGGAAACATTGGGTCCAATTTTGCTGGGTATCTTGGGTGACGTGGTAGAAGAAACAACCTTTATAATGATGCATGAGGTTACAGCCCAGTTTGTATTGAATCCCAGGAACTGGAACAGAATTTCCATTAGCAGAGTTTCACTTTGAAATAATGATAAACAGAAGGCATGCTAACACCTGGTCACTGTTTATTTACCTGCACATTTACCCTTTGTTTTTCAAATAGGACTGTATGCACAAATAATTTCAGTTTTACAAATTTGGCAGACTAATCAATACGCTGTGATGTCACAGTGACCATAATGAAAAGTAATGTTGTGAGTTCAGGGCCAGGAACTTACTCCACAGTAAGAGATGAAGGCTGATTGGTTATTTTCCATCACTCCACCTGCATGGAACTGTTGCCACCAAGGGAAATTAGGAATCGGACAAGGGGCAAAAACAAAACAGTATATATATGTGTGTGTGTTTGTGCGAGAGAGAGTGTGTGTGTGCACACGCACACAGGATTCATGACAACACTCCTTGCAGTGCTTTTCTATATTCTACCTAATCAGTACTACAAATACAAGACGGGCACGCCAGGACACAGTGTTTTTTAACCACTGTTGAAATGGGTCTAACTTGGCAGGCCTTGCTATCATCTCAAAGATAATTGGAGACTAATAGGATGGCTTGGGCTGGTCTTGGGACGTCCTTCCCTATGTGTTCGGCTGCTGTCCAGTCTCTGTGTGCAGTCAAGGCTGAGGCTGGTAGCATTTTGTCAATGACAGGCAGCAAATAGCAATGAGCCACTTGTGTGCACTCAAAGTGCACCAGTTAGCGAGTCCATTTGCCAAGTTATTAAGCTACATTTGGTTTTATTTTAGGTCAGCAGTAAAGTGCACTTACTCTCTCTATGTGTTAGGGTTGAGAGGCAGAAATAGCTATCTTCTCGTGCTGAGGACAGCAGGGCTGTCTGCCACATAACTAAGCAATACGCACATGCCTCCAGACAAACTTTAGTTTTGACTTATCCAGCCATGTTAGATTAAGACAGATAACTGCAGAGTGTGACAAAGAAAAATGAGAAGCACATATCTATATATCACACCGAACACTGAAAAGAAAGCGAGAAAAATGTTCATCCTAAAAAGTTGGATCTGAAAGCTAGCAAGAAAGAGAGACAGTTGGAGAGCAAAAATGGAAATCAACAAGGGAAGTGAAAGGGCGGAGGAGATTTTTTTGACCACATGCATAAAAATAGTCTTCACTTTATAAAAACATCCTGATGGCTTCAGGGTTCAAGGACATGCATAACTAGCATATTTTCAATAGGACAGAGAATGAAACGAAGGAGAAATTGCTCATCTAAGTAGATACGGCATAAGAACAGTAATGGTGAGAGGTACATCAGGTAAGAGGTAATAGAGACACAAACCCCATGAGTGACACCTCAGAGGGTGACTTGTGCTCCTTTGTGAATAAGATTAGAGGAGTAGTGGGGAAGGAGATGGCTTACAGAGGCATTAGCGCACAGAGCGCTCATTAAACCACATACAGTGTCAGTAAGGGGAGAGAGGTGTCTTGTGAGGCAGGCTCAATCTGAAAGAGATGGCAGAGTCAGTTCTAATAAAGCAAGCCTATTATGCACATGGGAAATAAAAGCAATAGGGGGCTGTTTTTACATCCTCCTGGGATACGAGTCAAACACAAAATGCAGAAAACATGCATTCATGTTTAGCAGCCCACACAATCTGTTCCCCAATCAAAAGTGTTGTCTATTAAAATTGCTGTAAATGCACATGGGACATTACACGTTGGCATTGTTCTATATCAGTATTCTTCTGCAGTCTCTATGTGTTTTTTTTATTTTAAGCCTTCGAGGCACAGTGTTGTCGGTAAATTTGTTAAAGTTACATTCAGACACCTGAGAAAACAAATTGGTTGCACTCAGAAAAACTGCATCTTGTGATCAGCATCTTTCTCTCTACAATATTTATGTGAAAGTGTCATAATTTTTGGATCCAAGATGTAGAAACATGATTGATGTATCTGCTGGTATAATCAATAGCCAGCACAAATTATCTGTACAGTTCCATGGTTCCCTCCATCTGTAAGGAATGATGAAAGATTCCTCTGAAAACAAACAGTAAGTGTGTCTCTCTCGCAGTCACACTCATAGACAAACACAAACACACACACATACAATACCCATATGGGATCAGCAGATGCTTGGCAAGGAGTGAAATGGCTATGTTAGATAGCATATGCTCTATGATGCCTCTCAGCCACTCTATGTCAGGGAATTATTCCTGACAAATCCTGCAAAGATTAGAAAATTTAAATGCTTATGCTTATTGCCTCAACTGCACCACAAGTATCCTCAAAGCCCAGATATTCCATTATTTTAGCTCAAGTTCATCATCAGTGTAACACATCTACATATAACACATTCCTTTTAATAAGTTGGTGACTTCAGCATGGCGCCTGCCATCACATCATACATTTTGTAAGTTAATTAAAGTATGGACTTCTTCTGTCCTGACATATTAATCTTATCTCACTGTGATAATGGTAATAAAGTCCATATTTGATTATATTGCCTTGAGAAATACACATAAGTAGTGAATCCCACCATATCACCTCCTCAAGGGGAAATCAATGTATCTTAATGACAGATCATTAGTGGCTCTGTAAAGGGGAACGATTTTAATGGAAACAACTCTGTCTCACCTCAGAACAAGGAGTGATAACACAGGAAGCTACTGACCACTTTTCACTTTCTAAGTAGTATTTAAAACAGTATCTACCCCCCAAATATGTAAGAAATATATGTCATACACAGACGGCCAGATCTGGCATTCAGGTAGTTGTTGAGCTATTCCATAGGGTTCATAGTGATTTTTAAAAATGTTATTTAAATCTGTGAAAAGCAGAAGCGCTGATTCATGCTGAACCTATACAGCTTTGGGTTGGTTAGACATTAAATGGCTGGAGTCTAAATTCAAACGCCTCCAGGATTATATACACAACCATCAACTTTGAATGTTAATTTGTTCAATACAGGCTGCCTTTTATCACTGCCTCTGCCATTGGTGCAATGATGGTTTATGAGATGACTGAGTACAAATACAGATAAAGATATGATTGAGTAAATTAAATGTCACTTTGCTTCAACATTGGTTGTCAGTGTGTATTCTTTGTAAACATAGTGCAAATGACACCAATCCAAACAGCTTCCAAGACCATCCAATTTGAGGTAATGAGTCAACACAATGTGAACTTTGCTCTACATCTGAATAAAAAACATTTTTATGATTAAAATAAAACTGTGAACCCTGCCACTTAATGACCACATGCAATCTTAAATTGAGAAAAACAACCAGTATTAATTACTAAACTGCATAACATGGCTTAGTCATTTATTACTTTAAAATTAATCAGTAAAAGCTTGCCGTCAATTCTAAAAGAAATCACAAAATGTTTGACAGTCTCTCAAGAGTCAGTTCCCAAATTGCAGTGATTAGGTAATGTTGGGCCACAAGTCATGAACTTAACCTTCCAGTTCTAAATAAGTAATGCTGATGGTATTATTGTTACTGTCATAGGAAACAAATTGGTGTCAGACAAGATGTTGTCATGTCAGCCTAACTGCTATACACCTGAACAAGATTCACCACAAAAGTACACATTCTTAAATGATTTCTATACATACAACTAAGTTGGAAAACACAAGATTTGATGAATTACTGTTAATGACATTTTCCTCAATTGTTTGATATGATATGACTAGACATATGTGTAAATAGGCGAGTTGTAGGGATTAGTGAACATGTGTCATTGTGAGGGGACGTGTTATTGATATGTGACAAACTTGGAGACAAAAAATGAAAGGGACGAATTGCTAATGAGTGGAGGTTTGCAGTTTTCAAGAGAAAAAAGAGAACTGAAACTGTAAGGGAATAATATTATTACTGGAAATTTGATGGACATATCTGACAGCTTTGGATACAGACAAAGGAAGAGGACCTGGTATGTAAGGTGGAAGAAGATGTAGAAATTGCATGGAGCAATATGAGTCTGTAAGTCTGTATCTGTGTAAGTAGAGCCATTACTACTGCAATGGTAGGAGAGATCATTGACAGGAGGCAAGGAACAGAAAAAAAAAATCTTGAAGAAAGGCCCTGAAGACCCCTCATAACATAAGATCCGGCCTATCCACTTCAGTCGGGATGTGGAAATGTTTTCCTTCCATTATGATATAGCAGCAGTTATTTATAATTTTCTTGACTTTCACAGCTCAATGTTATGTTGTTCTGTGACTTTTTCTGTTTTTGGCAAAGGTGTTAGTGTCCTTCCCATTCAGATGCACACACATTAATCTTTACACCAAATATGAGCTAAAAGAGTTTTTTGCAGCAGTATTTTTACTTGATAATAAAAACAAACCATCCGAATGTAAAAGCCTAGATACTTGATGCTTGCCTCAGGATACCTCTTCAGAAAATGTTAGCAAAACTGCCAACATTGCTGGGTCTCATCTTTTCTTGGGCAGTAAGTCAAGTTTGGGTGTGTATAAATATATCCTCTCATTTTATCTTAAGAAAAACATATTTTGATGGACCATCATTTCCAAGACTGTGAAATGCCATGAAAGTAACATTACTCAGTATCTGCATGCATTTCTTAAGCAAAGGGAAACTATAGATTATCGGTTAGGAGTTTTTGAGTTTGTAATAAAATCATCTTCTTGACTTTTTTCTTTTCTTATTTTCCTCTCCCACACTCCCTCCCTATAGGCTCTGCTCTGCGGCGTCGCTGGCTAGTGGTCCAACTCCTGATGCAGGTGTGGCTGGCGGCAAATCCATCTCTGAGTGAGCGCCCATGCCCCAAGAGCTGTCGCTGTGATGGAAAAATTGTCTATTGTGAGTCAAGCGCCTTTCGCGATGTCCCCAAGAACCTTTCAGGAGGCTGTGAAGGCCTGTCTTTACGGTACAACAGCCTCGCCAGTCTTCGTGCTGGACAGTTTGTAGGCCTCAACCACCTCATCTGGCTCTACCTGGACCACAATTATATTGCCTCTGTAGATGGAATGGCCTTTCAGGGGGTCCGCAGGCTCAAAGAGTTGATCCTGAGTTCCAACAAGATTACATCGCTCCACAACACCACATTCCACCCTGTCCCTAATTTGCGTAATCTGGACCTGTCCTACAACAAACTGCAGGCCTTGCAGCCTGGGCAGTTCCAGGGCCTACGGAAGCTTCTCAGCCTTCACATACGCTCAAACTCTCTAAAAATCATCCCAGTGCGTCTGTTCCAAGATTGCAGAAATCTGGAATTCCTGGATCTGGGTTACAACCGCCTGCGCAGTATCACTCGGAATGCATTTTCAGGCTTGGTCAAGCTCACTGAGCTGCATCTGGAGCATAACCAGTTCTCAAAGATCAATTTCTCTCACTTTCCTCGCCTCTACAATCTGCGGGCACTTTACCTGCAGTGGAATCGCATTCGCTCAATGAACCAGGGCCTGACCTGGACCTGGGCCTCCATCCAGAAACTAGATCTGTCTGGGAATGATCTGACAGACGTGGACGCTGTAGTTTACCAATGCCTACCGAATCTGCAGACCCTAAATCTGGACTCCAACAAGCTGACCAATGTCTCCCAGGAGGTTGTTGATGCCTGGATCTCCTTGACTACGATTAGCTTAGCTGGGAACGTATGGGACTGTGGCCCTGCCATCTGTCCCCTGGTGGCCTGGCTGAGAAACTTCAGAGGGGCAAAGGAGACCACCATGATCTGCGCCTCGCCCAAGAAAGCCCAGGGTGAGAAAGTGATGGATGCTGTTGAAGCTTTTGGTGTTTGCCAGTCAAACCCAGCAACAACTCTTACTGTGAGTATTCCTCCAACCCCGTCCAGTGTCCCTGTGCAGACTGAACATCGCCCAGCCATTCTGGCTTCACCTACTGGTTCTGGAAAGAGAGGAGAGGGATCTATCAGAGGCCCCACGTCATCAGCTGTTACCCCACCTGTGGCACTTCCCCCAGAGCAAGACTTTGAGCCTGTGTCCTTCCACAAGATTGTGGCTGGAAGTGTTGCCCTTTTTCTATCTGTTGCAATGATCCTGTTGGTAATCTACGTGTCTTGGAAGCGCTATCCTAGCAGTGTCAAGCAGCTGCAGGAGCACTCGGCAGCAGCCCGCAAACGCCGCAAGAAAGCTAGAGAGACGGAGCGCACCCTGAGCTCTCCACTGCAGGAGTACTATGTGGACTACAAGCCCACCAATTCTGAGGCCATGGATGTGCTTGTCAATGGGACCGGACCCTGCACCTATACAATCTCAGGCTCCCGAGAATGCGAGGTATGACCCACACCACCGCCACTCCTCCTAAACAAAACTCTGTCCACAGCGAGACGACCAGAGGTAATTATTTACTCTGCTTTGATAGATGATAAGTCTGCTACTTGATTACTTAGCCTTACACAGCAGGTTAGGTAAATACTGTGTACCCATGGATTATTATTGAATGAAGCAGAGGTGGTTTTAGCACCACTTTATATATAACAAGATATCTCGTGTTTTCAGATGGGTGTTTGTATAGTCGCTTAAACCCTAATCTCTGTTGAGATGCAAATGTTTGTTTTGCTGCAGAATTTTACAGAAATACAGATAAATGAGACTGATTACATTTCCTATTCTACATAATCTTGAGCTTATATGCTGTTTGTGATAAGACATTTGTGATTGTTTAGGTACTCGTTTGCTTTTTTGCTTGCATATCACAGGCTTTGTGCTTTGTGCTTTTGATCTATTGCTATTCAGTTTTTGATGAGCAGTACTGTGTGGAGAGAATAGCTGAATGGTAGGAAGATCCACTTCTGGACACTGGATGTGAATGCTAATAGAGACTCTTGTCACTGAATAGAGCTTCCCTAGAGCTGATGACTTCACACTTTTTTTGACATAGGTATGACTCGTTGTTGGAAAATACTTAATGCTCATAGTCCCCCAACAGCACTTCCTTTCTGATTTTTGCATCCCTTTGCACACTGACTTGCTGAAGTTACTCACTTGTTTACTCACTGACTTAATTGATCCGTCACACATGAACCAAAATGCATACTTTCACTGGCCATCCACATTTAACGCACACAGACAGAAAAAATACACGTTTTGTGACAAACACATACACACACACAGAAAAAAAGTAGTGTTTGATAGTCCCGAAAGGAGTGGGAATCCTTTGAAATGTTTCATACACAGGCAAGTGAATTTCTTCAAAACAGTATTTACAGACTACAGCAATGTGGGAATACCACTTTTCTCTTCTTGATTTCAGCTGCTACACTCGTGTGTATCTGACATACTGTACCATTCTTGGTTAAACCTTTTATTCTACTGCTGAGTTTCTGCAAGTTTTCCAATCTACAGCTAAGCAAAGCTTCTGTAGAAATGTATTTCTCATCACTGATTAACTGGCCCTGTTATAACAGGCCTACCTGGATGATCAGGTAGCCTGCCCTCCAAAGCTGTAACCTAAAGGCATAAGACATATTTTGGTTAAGCGCTATGTTCACATTATCAGCCCATTCGTACTCAGTCTAGTTCCTAGACTTTCTGGGCATTTCTATGCTATGAATTTCTGGCAGGCTCTCTCTGGAGGAATGACTGTAAATGCTGAGGTTTAAACAGTGAAGAGGAGGAGGAGAAGGAGGAAGGCTCGAGCTACTACATTCTTTTCCATTTCTGTTCCTGACCGTCTGGCTTTTCTGGAGGCAGGTCACATGATAATATGTATTTACAGGTTGTTTGATTGTAAAGAGGGACCACAAATCACAGCTGTCATTTTGTTGTTGTTTGCCATGCCCTTCCCCATACAGGCTTTTAGTGCCTCCTTTCAGTCCACAGTGCTTATATTTAGTGTGAATTTTTAAATGTATAACTCCATTGGAAGTCATGTTACATGAATAGAGGGGAAAACATAGCAGATGCTGTTAAATATTTTGTACCTCATTCTATACAATGCCAAGCAAACTTCGATTTGAATGATGCGATTTTCACATTACCTCATTTTGACATATCTTTTGTGGCTTCAACCCAACGTATCACACTGTCTTGAAGCCAACAACATATGTGCAATGTCATCTTATTTTCAGATCAAAATATGGATGATCTCAAGCCAGCAATTTTTACATAATGCACAAAGGTTAGGTATGATCACAGGGACACATGAAAATATAGTGTAATCCAGTACAATATTACAAATATACCTCCAATGCTGACTTTTTTAATACAGTTTAATACAGGGATGTTTTGGACTTGTACAGGTGTTCTAGTTCTTGTGGCTGCCCCCTAGAATTAAAATGATTAGTTAATCTAATTAGCTAGTTAATTTGGAAAGTACACAGCAGGAGACAGCTGCCCACAGGAATCATATCAATATAAAAAATAGTGAAAGCAGTAAAGATGAACTTTAAAACGAGGTTGTAATGACAAGAAAAATAAAGAAAAAAGAAAATAGTTAAGTAACTGTGCATTCAGTTTTGATATTCTTTTGTAGATGGAGTGGTTGTAATTATAAACAATCTCATAATAAATTAATCTCTCTTTCTATTCTGTCTAGGCCTTATTGTCTTCTGAAAATAGCAAAGTACTTTGAAAAGAACAGTCATACCTCCAATGTGGACCCCTGGATTATAGATAAAACAGTTTCAGTAGTCATTAGTTGTTGTTTTTTTCTATACAGACAAAGTTGTCTCAGGGGTATTTGATCCGATACTTTAAAAAAATAATAATACTATATCTTAACAATGTTTGTTAGAGAATTGTTAATTTCAACAGTAATATAATATTAGGCAAACAATGGATAGCTATTGCACTTACTGAGGATCAGGAGGAATTAACGCTCCTGATCCTTTCACACCAGGTGAAGGCAAACAAAAAAACGCATTGGTTGGCTTCCAGATTGTCATATTACAAGGGATAAAAAGGCTAATTGTCATTCCCAACACTCATTTTCATACCTGATGCCTCATGCCAGCTGGATCAGACTATTATCAGACTCATATTGCACGGTCCAGGGAGGCCCTATAGGATACATTATCTACCAAAGTTGCCGTCCACTCTAAGGGACCCCACACAAAATACCTTACAGCCCCTCCATCCGTGTAAGCTAGAAGCAGGCCTGCAACTTACCAGAGAAATCACTGCATCTATCGTTAGCCTTTTATCTTGACTTGATTGAACTTGGCAATTTAGCTGACTCTTTCATCGTGTGAGCCAAATAAAGCAGGAATTAACCCATACTAAGAGGGCCAAGGGCCAAATCAACATTACAGAGCCAGCAGAGTGTAACAACTCAGACAAAAAAAGCCACTGGAAATATTTGTGATTTATCAACAACCGCTCATATGAAGGAATTATCAACAACAAAATAAAATCCAGAAGAAAAGCACTGTTCTTTTATAATTAAGCACAAAACAGAAATAGATTAAGTGAAGAAGGTGATAAAGGAGAGTGACGTGAGCCAATAAACAAAAGATAAGACTACACAGTGAAAAACAAATAAAAGATATTGCCAACATTGTGGACTGGGAACACTGGGACTTCCAATAAAAAGTTTCAAATCATACAGTCTTAATAAATAGCAATTTCACCAATTCTGATACTTTCCATCTCTTTATATAAGCTATACCCAAGGGAGGGAAGTTTGCACACACAGGTAATGTAAATCAGGCCATTAGCTGAACACATGTTTTAATCTTAAAGCAATATTATGTAAGACCTGGTATTTGTTGCGATTTGGCGCCCCCAGGTACATAGTGGAGTACCCCTGTCGTAAATATGGACTGGTGTACATGTGCATTTGTTCTGATTACATTACTTATGATCAAAAACTAGCCAGTCAACAACTTTTGCTAACACAGCCAAGCATCAAGCAAGTGCAACAACACAAGACATAGCAAAGAGGCCTGCTGGTCGGTTGTCTTGCAGTTTATTTTACAAAGCTCTCACTAACGGCTAAAAGCCTGTCCGACATGTTTTCTTGAAGTACTCTGGATGTCCACATTCTTACCTTTGTTCTGTTGAGCATACTGTAACTGCCTACTGTGTAGTCCAGTAGCATTGTTGGAAATGCTTAAGAAGTCTTTGATGTTTCAAACTAGCTTTTCTCTACCGTTTATGTAAGTTAAGATCGACATGTCATCAAGTGGAAATTCCTATGCAATGTTTCAGTAGGTGGTTAGCTTCCATGGGATGTTTTTTTTTTATTTAAGGGTCACTCTGTCCCCTCCTTCCCGTGCTTTTTTCAATCTGCTGATTACCTTACTGCACCTATAGGGGATTGTTATTTTCAACAGTATTACATTGCAGCCTTTCTTACATCACAACCTGAATAGCTACATCATACCCATATTATTAAGCCATATTGCATGGATGTAACTGAGTGAAAACTGAGTGGAGGCCCGGCACTGTTAATTCCTGTCCTATTCGCAGTCCTGTTTCCACAAGTTTCCTTTTTATCCCTGCACTCTCCTCCATTTTGTTTCTTGAGATATCCTTGAAAATGCTTTCTCTCCAGCCTTATCTGTCCCTCTGTCTCATCTTAAAACATTGTAGAGGGGAGACAGGAACTATCAGTCAGCAGTCCACAAAGTCCTGAGTTCATCGCAGAATGTGCTCCGATCTTGTTTCTACATTTTGTTGCTCTCGCATGGACATAAATCACTTGGTAGCAGCACCTGCTGCACTCTCCCCACCTCGCAGCCTCACTGCCTCTCCTCAAGCTCGAGGCCGTAGCGGCTCAGGTCTGCTCATCTCTCCTGAGTGGGAATTGCTTATTCCTCCTGTGTCACTCTTACGATTTCTTTCATTCAGATTCTGCACCATGACTATAACTCACCCTGAACCTCTTCACATGATTGTCCTTTATCAGCCCTCAGATCCACCTGACATGAATGTGATTTTGGCAGGCTTTTTAGTGAATTGCCTGAAGATGGTGCAATCCTCATTTTCCAACATCACTTCAACCTTTCCACAAAAAAGCATTATTTCTATCATTTCATTTCTATCTTCCTTTGATCTTGTCCTTCCTAGCTATACTCATGATGTGGACAGTGGACTTGACCTGATCTTGAGTCTGCCATGTTTGGCCTGTGTCAACTTTTCATGTATTAACATCACTTGGCATCTTTTGCTTTTTTTTAACCTGGCCATACCACAAGGTAATATTTGTGGCTTTCTTCCACAATTTATCCCTTCTCTCATCTTTATCTCCTTTCACTTTATACAATTTCCAAATGTCTAGCCACGCTGTCATCATCCCCTGACCTCTACCACCTTCCATCCTGATCTGCTCA